AGAGGTAGGAGGAGGAGAAACTAACCAGTTTGGTGCCTTTTCTCTCTTGAGGAGATGAAGATGGTGCAGACCTTTTTAAAAGGAGAAGCAATTCTACAAACCCAAGAGCCCATTTTTCCAAACAAATTATGCAACTTGAAGCTTTTTTGCTGAAGTATTTGCCAACTACATAGTTTGATTCCTCTTTTTATAAGGTTGAGATGAAATAATCTGATATTCTTATGTGGTGAGGGAGACAAGATCAAGGACATGAGGGCCCTCAGCCATAGCTTTGTCACATGCATAACATTATTCTGATTTCAGAGCTCTTTGTCTTCTTATTTTATCTTTTCTCTCTCTCTCTCTCTCAATTGAGTTTCAATACTGCTATTAAAAAAATGTTTCATTTTCTCGAGAAATTATTATGTGTAGAGGCTGGATGCAGAACGCCATCCGAAGACCAACTAGAATGGGTCACGTCAGCAATACCAAGCCGCGGTACCGAGAGAAGGTGATGTGACGCATTCTAGTTGATCTCCGGACAACATTTGACGTCCGTACATAATAATTAATCATTTTTCTCACAGCCCTGCTGCAGTTTTCAACTGTCCAGCAGTCTTGAAAATGATGATTTCAATACTTGTGGTTGAATAAATCAAGGAAAGTAATTTAATATTTTTATTTTATAATTCAGTTCAATTTCTGAATTTGTGGACTCGTTATCTTTTAGAATAGTTTATATTGCATTTCCCTATCTAATTTCACTTTTTTTTATTTTTTATTTTTTGATAAAGTCCAAACAAGCTGCAAGTTTTTGTTTGATCTTTGATGGTTTTATTTTATCCAAGAATCCATCTTTGTTATTCTCAAATTATTGAAGTAAATGCAATCTTTTTCTTTTGAAAAACTAATTTTAATAAAAAAAAATAACATAAATTTACAATAACAACAACATCATCATCAAGACTTTATCCCACTACGTAGGGTCGGCTACATGAATCCTTCTTTTCTCCATTGTGTCCGGTTAAGAGTCAAATTTTTGTTTAAATCTAAAAAAGAAAGTTCTTTTCTAATATTTTCTGACAAAATCTTTTTAGATGTACCTCTACCTTTCTTAACATAAGCCAAGTCTAATACATCTAATTTCTAATCAGGTCATCGGAATGTCGTCATTTTATGTGACCAAACCATCTAAGGCGACCCTCTCTAATATTATCTTCCACTGGAGTTACTACAACCTTTAGCAACATTAATTTAAAAAGAAAAATTCATGCAATATTGCTTTTTTAATAATAAGTATTATGCTTTTTGTTTTCTTTGTTCAATAAATACCAATCTTTACTTTTTCTCTTTGAAAGATAATTCCAAAACTATTGTAGCACATTACATCCTATCCTAAGTCTTATTGTAATTTGAGTCAAAGCCTTAAAATGCAAACTCAAGATTGTTTCCAACTTTAATTAAACTTAAAAATAATATTATGGACAATGGTTATTTTGCTTTCATACAAGATTAAAGCTTCTTTTGAAGCTTTGTTTAGATGCTTTTCTTACTGCTTCTTAAAGCATTTTTCTAGTATAAAAATTTTGATCTATGTACTAGAAAGCTGCTTTAAGAAACAATAATAAAGTTGTCCCAAACGAAGCCTAAACCTTGTCGTCCGTGATGGAATGATCTATTTTTCACATAGATATGATGATGCACGACATCGTAAGGTCGAAGTTTACTAATATGAATCTGAAATAGGATTAGTAAGTTTAAAGGCTTGTATAATATAAGAAGCCAAGCTTTCTTGAAATAATAAGTATATTTTAAATACTTATTATTTTGATGCTTAAAAAAGTCTATGAAATGCCATATTATGCAAGATAGACTAGCTATTTATGATGATGTGTGAAGACTGGCACAATAATTTTTGTGAGAAGGACCTTAATAAGGGCCAAAAAGAGACTTTGAATTTTGACAATTTTTTATGTTACTATAGTCCAACCTTTCTTGTAGAGTCGTTCTATAATGATTATATCGGGGTAAATAAGACCGTTATTGACGATTATAATTGGTCAATGAGTTAGGTGATGATAATTTAATATCTAAATATTTCAAAATCTTCACAAACATTATATGACACTTCAAGTGAAGCACACAAACTCTTCTCCTTCGATTTCGCCTACACGCTACCCCACTGCATCGAATCGACTTCAAATGTGTCTTCTAAGACGCGACTCTTCTTGATATGCTGGTTGGGAGCTTTGACTACTGACTAAGATATGTTGGGTTTGAATTTTATGTATGTGATGTGTTTGCGAATAGACGAACATAACCGAAATATTCTTTTCTTTCATGTTTTAACGATGAGGAAGTGCTAGAAATCGAGATGCGGGATTTCTAGGTTGCTCTAGCGTCGATCAACGGAGTTTTCAGCGAGATATCCAGAGATTTACACATAGTTTAACAAAACGAGGTTTGTGAATTTCAATTAGATTCTGACTTTTCATTTGAATTTAATTTTTTTAAATTAAATTATTAATAATATCAAGAATGATTTGAGATTATTACTATTATTATTAACTTAAAATGACTGTAATGCGACAATCGACAAAATCACCTTGGTTCCTGTGCAATTACGTCGGGAATCTCATCGATTTGTGCACGCAATTTTCATTGGACAAATTGTTAGTAATTTTTTTAGGATTGTCGACGTTCTGAATGCAACGGTGAAGATCATTTTACAATTGGACTTTGTTTGGGCAAAGCCGAGCGCCAATTTCCTCGATTTGTGTACGTTGTCTTAAGATTCATGATGATTTTCTCGTGTGACTTTAATTGATCAACTTGACAATGATTTTTTTAGTACAGTCGATGTTTCGAACATAACGACGTTCGTGTGGCGTCGTGTGCCAATTTCCTCGGTTTACGGTACATCATCTCGAGATTCATGCCATTCCGCTGGGTGATTCCAATAGAATCAGTTGACAGTGATTTTTGGGTGTCGATGATGTTTCGGACGCAACAGTGAAATCCATTTTGCAATCAAACGTCATTTGAGCAACATCACCCATCAATTTCAAATATCGGCCGTCCCCTTGGACCTATCTTGCCCGATTTGACTGCAAGGGATCTCCTCTTAGGCTAACTCAACGTCCTGATTGCAACTGCCCATTAAGTTTGACAATCTGAGCGCCAATTGCCTTGATTTGTGGACTTATTCACCTTTTTTTTTTTTATAAAGTCCAAACAAGCTGCAAGTTTTAGTTTGATCTTTGATGCTTTGATTTTATCCAAGAATCAGTCTTTGTTATTCTCAAATTATTGATTTAAAATGCAATCTTTCTCTCTTGAAAAATTAAATTTAATAAAAATTTTGAAAACAAAATTAACATAAATTTACAATAACAACAACAGCAACATCATCATCAAGCATTTATCCCACTACGTGAGTTCAGCTACAGGAATCCTTTTTTCTTCTTTGTGTCTTGTTAAGAGTCAAATTTTTATTTAAATCTAAAAAAGAAAGATCATTTCTATTTTTTCCTAACCAAGTCTTTTTAGGTCTACCTCTACTTTTCTTAATATAATCCAAATCTAATACATCTACTTTTGTAATCGGGTCATTGGAAGGTCGCTCCATTTTATGTGACCAAACCATCTAAGGCCACTCTCTCTAATCTTATCTTCCACTGGAGCGATTCAAACCTTTAGCTACATAAATTTAAAAAGAAAAACTCATGCAATATTGCATTTTTAATAAGTATTATGTTTTCTTTCTTCAGTAAATACCAATCTTTACTTTTTCCATTTGCAAGATAGTTCCAAAACTATTGTAGCACATTACATCCTATCCTAAGTCTTATTGTAGTTTGAGTCAAAGCCTTAATATAAAAACTCAAGATGTTTCCAACTTTAATTAAACTTAAAAATAATATTATGGGCAATGGTTCGTTTGTTTTCATGCAAGATTAAGGCTTCGTTTGACACGATTTTCTTATTGTTTCTTACAGCATCTTTCTAGTGCAAAACTTTTAATCTTTGTACTAAAAAACTGCTTTAAGAAGCAATAAGAAAGCCATCCCAAATGAAGCCTAAAACTTGTTGTCCCCGCTGGAATGATCTATTTTGCACATAAAAATGATGATGCACGACGTCATAAGGTCGAAGATTTACTAATATGAATCTGAAATGTGATTAGTAAGTTTAAAAACTTGTATAATATAAGAAGCAAAGCTTTCTTGAAATAATAAGTATATTTTAAATACTTATTATTTTGATGCTTAAAAAAATCTATGAAATGCCATACTATGCAAGATAGACTAGATATTTATGATGATGCGTGAAGTCTAGCACAATAATTTTTATGAGATGGACCTTAATAAGGACTAAAAATAACTTTCGAATTTCGACAATTTTTATGTTACAATAGTCCTTGTAGAGTCATTCTATATTTATTATATTGGGGTAAATAAAACCATTATTGACAATTATAATTGGCCAATGAGTTAGGTGATGGTCATATATTTAAATATTTCAAAATCTTCACAAACATTATATGACATAAACCTTCAAATTCACATATGTCATGGCATACAATAATTAGTATGCATCTGATTGATGAGACCCATTAGAGAAAGTGCCATGAACCAATGCCTGTAGGCTGTAGCATTCAAGTGAGTATAAATAAAGAATTAGGGCAAATAAAATAGAATGAATCTCCGATGCGCCATTAATGAAATAAGCACAACTGGTAGATATCTTAAGAGGGCGGAGCTCTCGAACCTGGGAGGTGGAATCTACCCTTGCAACAAACTAATCAAAAAAGTCAACTCGCAACTAAGGCTTTGTTCGGGACGATTTTTTAAAGCAGCTTTGTAGTACATAAATTTTTATTTTTTTACTAAAAAGTTGTTTTGAGAAGCAGTAAACTTTTTAGTATAAAAATTTGCTTTAAGAAGCAGTAAGAAAGTCGCCCCAAATAAAGCCTAAATCTGCATAGAAAATTTTCTTTGTAGGGAAAGAATTAGGCTATATCACTTAAGCAACCATGCATGGTATGATTAAAAGTATAAACATTTTTTTGGCAACTCTGTTCTAACTTCAATAGCATCAAATAACATAGAGAAACCTTATTTTGGGACCTTTACATACATATTCTTTCACGCCAGAGTAATAGACTGTACAGTGCTCAGAAAAGCCTGTAAAGAACAAAATTTCTTTGGAAACATATCAATCGATGCATAAATTATACTCTTGATATCAGTTTGAATGCATTGTATCATCAGCTCATCGACAATGTCTCCACTATACTTACCTTCTAGGATCGCTCCATCAATGGCAGGAAGAAAATTCACTGAACAAACAAAGGTTCCTTGAAGCCGAAAGCAAAATGATCTAAGATGCAGCTTGTGCCGCTTCAATTGTGTTTGCATCATTATCTGCCTTTCTTCCTTTTGAATCCTTTCTTTGTGATTTTTGGCTCTGTTGCTCATTATTCTTCACCATCAGTGGCTGGAACTGCATTAAGTGAAACGGTATCACATAAGAAAAACTGTAAAAAAAGAAAGTTTGAAGCCTAAAACATGAATTAGATGCCTCTGTGATGAAAAATTATTCTGTGCGGGACGCCGAACGTTGTTTCGAGACAAATCAGAATACATCACGTCACCCCTACTCGGTACCACGGCTTGATACAGCTTGATATTGCTCGGTACCGGGCTCGGTATCACTGACGCGGCTGCATCTGATTAGCCTCCGGATGTAGAGCTGCGTCAGTATCCACACAAAATAATTTCTCCTCCGTGACAAGTAACCTGGTAAATAGAATAAATGATGTTTCGTCGGATTTGTGCCATCATATCAAGGAAGAGATTGTAGCCTTCAAGCTTGTATTCAATGAGCGGATCTCTCTGTGCGTAGCCCCTTAGTCCAACTGCTTGCTGGACAAACTTAATTGCTTGAAGATGTTCTTTCCATAGCCTATCAATGTTGCTCAAAACTAGGAACCGCTCAGCTTCCTTCATCAAACCTGGTGCTTGTTTTTCCACCATTTCCTGAAATTGGACTTCAATGTTATTTTGGTTGAACACAAATATCTATTTTTCTGTGAGTACTGCTTTGGACTCTCTCAGCAGACCCATATTTAAATTGCTACCATACCAACTGCTTATGTGACATCAAACTACACTTTTAAAATAATAAATCCCAGAATCAAATATGTTTTTCTTCTTTTTTGCAAAATCTAGTTCAAGATTTTCACTCTAAGGTACTTCTCAAGAAGTAAATTTTACATAGAAAAGAGAAAACCAGGTAAAATGCCTTAGTGTTGTCTAAACAACTTATATCTGTTAAAATATTTTATTTTTGAATAAATGGAAGGTGATGAACCTGTAGGTCAAATATGAAGTTCGTACTAACTGTTGATTTTAAAAAAGTGCCTGAGCTGCCACATCAGCTAAGCAGCTCCCATGGAATCCACTTAAGTGTGTATCTGATTGAAAAGTACAGAATTTTTCTTGCTCAAATCTAGACTACAATGTTCTGCATATATGTCAACAGCAGGAGCTTGGATAAAACAGCAAGCACACAATTACAAATCCACACTCGCCCAAAAAAATAACAAAATAGAACAGGCAACAGTAACTTTTTTCTTATTATAGCAACTACGGGCTCAAAGGACAGATTAAAAAATCAAGCTGCACTGCAGGAACTAAGGTGTCATTTAAAACAACTTTTTTATTGCTTCTTAAAACAGTTTTTTAGTATAAAAATTTAAATTTTTGTACTAAAAAGTTGCTTCAAGAAGCAATAAAAAAACCGTCCCAAACGAAGCCTAAATCTCTCCACAGTAGAAATCATTACCGTTTTAAAGATCTTTCATTGCAAATATCTGCAGTTAGTAAAAAACATGTAGAGCGACATTATACATTCCATATTAAAGAAGAGATATGGCAATCCAACATACAGTTTTCTGGAAGTAGGCTTCACGTCCTCGTAAATGAAGAAATTCCCGCAATTCCTCATAGCTTGAGCATTTATCTCTAAGCAATTCTGGGGCCAAATCATTCAGCAGATAGCAGTATCTGAACATTTTTGTATAGTGTAAATCATGAGTCAATTGAAATTACCGTTTATATAGGTAGGAGAATTGTTAAGTGTAACAACTAAATCTAGCTGTATAACTTAAAAAAGACATCAATAGAAAAAATCACAAAATAATCTCCTACTGCTGAAGTTTGGCAATGAGTTTATCAAGTTCCCAGCTTTCCTTCGGAGCATCAGGGCCAACATTTGCCTACCAACATTAAGAAACGAGATAAGATATAGTTATCCAAGCTAAGATGCATGCAATAGTGTCAGTTTCCATAAATTAGTAAGACTATGACTTCGTTTGGGGCGGCTTTACTACTGCTTCTTAAAATAATTTTTTAGTATAAAAATTAAAATTTTTGTATTAAAAAACTGCATTAATAAGATGTAAGAAAGCCGTCCCAAACGAAGCCTATATATCGACTCCTGAGCTACCAATCAGATTACCTGTAAGATGTCATCCATAGTCAGCTCGGCATATTCTATAATGAGGGACTGGAGGTTCTTAGATTCCAAAGCTCGCCTTCTTTCAGTGTATATGCGATCCCTCTGACTGTTCAAGACCTCATCATATTCAAATAACTGCTTCCTTATATCAAAGAAATAGTTCTCAACCTTTCTTTGAGCTTCATCTAAGGCCTTGGTTAGCATTTTTGACTCAATTGGAATGTCTTCAACTCTGAAAGCTCTCATCAAACCCTACATTTTGCATTTTGCACAGAGCTGTGGTAAGCTGTCTCCTTGAATCAAGCCGAGTGATATAAATTAACCTCAGATTCTTAGATTTAAGACTAGACTGCACATATCTGCTGATTTAACTAAAAGAAATATTAATATGGTTCTTGACAAATTATAATACTTGACGATTCATTTATGCATTCATGGATGTCCAAAGTTATATAATTATTAAGGTATTAAATGTTATATTTTAACAAACCAATAGGAAAACAATAATGAGCCAAAACCTGTATCCGGTCTCCACCGAAAATTCGAAATATGTTATCTTCAAGGCTGAGAAAAAACCTTGAGCTTCCCGGATCCCCTTGTCTACCACTTCTACCACGGAGCTGTTTACAATGACAACTCAAGTTATGAAGCAATTAAGGTTTCGTTTGGGACAATTTTTTGCTACTTTATAAAACTACTATTTAGTACAAAAACTTTCAATTCAAAAATTTTTTTAAATAGAAAGCTGATTTAGAAAGCAGCAAAAAAGCCGTCCCAAACTAAGCCTAAAACTGCAATCTCGAAAACTTGAAGTAATGAATAACTATAATATGAATTAAGCAAATTATTCAAGAAAGTATATTTCATTCAATAGAATTAGCCTGGTTTAATCGCTTTGTATCAAGAAACAGAAAAAAGCAAAGAAAGAGAGACCAAATATCTTATGCAAATTCAAATTATCATAGCCATCATTATCAATCTTATCCCAATTATTTGAGATTGGACATACGAGTCCTCAATCTTGATTCATATGTTGAGCGTAGCACACAGTGTTAAGAGTCTATTTTGCATCAAATTTTTTTACCAACTTCTAACCATAAGGGAGATGAAGGCATGTGGTTTTCATGCCTATCAACTCCCTTGAGGGAAACGATGAACAACACTTAGGTTGGATTAGATCTGTTAATCCCATTTTACCATTTAAAAAATATTTAATAATTATGAGAATTGAAGAAAATAGTAGCTTATTTGGAATTTTTGGTTGTTAATTTTGGGGGACTAATCAAATATTTACCAAAATAGCAACCAATATTATGCCTTTCAAACACTAACTTATCAAAATAAAGAAATTTTTCAATAAAATAATTAATTTTCTGCATTGAGTTAGCTCAGTTTGGGCAGGTATCATTTCTGATCTAAAGCCAGCCTTTACAAATCTCAAGATCAATTTCACTTCTTAACATCCGCACAAGAGAAAACTTAATGTAACTTTAAGACTTCGTTTGGGACAACTTTTTTGATGCTTTATAAAATAGCTTTTTAGTGCAAAAATTTAGTGAATTAGAAAATTTTTACTAGAAAGCTGTTTTAGAAAGCAGCAAAAAAATTATTCCAAACGAAGCCTAAGTCTACATGTTACACCTCATTTCATATTAACAAAAACAGAAGTTTATAACCTGATTATCAATTCGTCGTGATTCATGCCGTTCAGTTCCTACCACATGAAGTCCTCCAGCTTGTATGACCTATAATGTGTAAGGGAATTGCAAAAGTGATTATCTAACCTTAGCCATATCATATTACACACTTATGAGAATATGAAGACAAACCTTCTTTTTTTCATCTTCAGTGTAGACCCTATATTCTTCTGCTATTTTCAAGAATGCATTCCTCAGCTGGGCTATGACTTCATCTTTCATAGGGCCCTGCAATGTGCTTTGCACGAAGTATATCATCAACTAGCACATCTTTCCATGTTCTAAAGTGCATTCAACAAGGAAGCATAGTCTGGATTCATCTTGTCTGATTCCGCAGTTAAGAATTTTAGCAAATATAGGGTTTTCACAGGGAAAATAAACTCGAATTTGAGAAGTTCAAATAATCAAATAATAGAAGGGGATAAGAAGGTACAATTGTTCTTTCTTCCATTTCCATCAAAATTAAACTTTTGTCTTTATTTTTGTTTCTTTCCACGTCAAATAATCAGGAATGGCTCCAGTAAATAGTACAGAACTATCTACAATATGCACATTGATAGAACAAATATCTACCATATGCACATTGATATAAGTAATTGATTTTTAGAAAAAAATATAACTATTGCTAAATCTCTGGAAAAAAAGAATACAAACATTAGTGGTGAACAGGATCTTCTACATTAAAGATAGAAATTACGTTCAAAGTTCCATTCAATAAAAAAAGAAAAAAGTATCAGAATAGCATTCTAACCTTTTCACATGAATAAGAGAGTCTGTCTTCTGCTTCAAGCTCAGTTAATGATCTTAGGCCCCACGTTTTAACGGAAAATTCCACTGCATCCTTTGCCAATGATACTGTGACGTTGGAAAGTTCACATGGGAATAGGCTTTCCTTAACCTGTAAATGCCATGAAAGGATAAAAAAAGGCAAAGGTCTATCAAACTCTCAATATTTATGTTAAATATAGTATTGGTACACCTTCCATGTCTTTCTTGGTGGAAGTTTCTTCACAGAAACAAAAACTCCTTCAGCAGGCTTGACAACTCTGCAGGTGTACTGTCCAATAAGAATAATAATAATAGCAGAAGAGCATGCATGCCCAGAATATAATTCGAAAGTTTGGAAATAATTTACAGCATAAACAGACTATGAGGCAAAATGGTTTTTGTGCCTTCTTATGCAAAGTTCATGCAAAAATGTTATATGGAAAACACACAATATATAGCTAGTTGGTAGTTATTCTCTAAACAAAGCAAAATGCAAGAACAACAAAGATAATATGGTAGGTTTTCTCAAAAGTGAAAAATCTCAGAAAATTTTTAAAGAAATTGCAATTGGATTTAGATAATATGATAATAGTTATCCTTTTTAACAGATCGTCTTACCTAGGCATCAATAGCTCTCGTAGCTTTAACCTTGCCATGAATTCTGCATTGCCTCCAAGGATTATGTCTGTTCCACGGCCTGCCATGTTCGTTGCAATTGTTACTGCCCCAAGACGGCCACTCTGCGCTACTATTTCGGCTTCCCTTTCCACATTCTCTGGCTTCGCATTAAGAAGCTTCACAAATAAAGGGGTAATTTCATGAATGCAATGAAATAGAAGGTACTTTATTAAAAGCAAGCACCTTTTTTCTTATGTGAGAAGGATTACATGGAAACTACAGACATTTTAGCACCATTTTTTCTCAGAACTTAGGTTTCGTTTGGGACAGCTTTTTTATTACTTCTTGAAGCAACTTTTTAGTATAAATATTAAAAATTTTATACTAAAAAGCTGCTTCAAAAAACAGTAAAAAGCTGTCCCAAACGAAGCCTTAATTTTAACCATATATTGACCCCAGAAGCAGATAAATCCAGTTATAATCACATAAGAATAATTGTGTTTAGACCAACGAAAGCATTGCCATTGCGCATAGCAAGCATTCCCACATTGCGCATAGCAAGCATTCCCATCTTTCCAAAACACTAAATTCTTCACCATCGTGCAAAACTTAAAGCATACAATTAGGTTTTGTGTTTTATTAAGGACAAACATTTCATCACTGGAAACAAGCATAACATGCTGAGAAAACTCTGTACCCTATAAGATCAACTAACCTCCATCTTTTAGCTGGTGCCTCTTCTCATTAACTTTACAGATATGCTGTGCATACTAGTTTTAAAATCGTGAAACAAAATATACTAACCTCAATTACACCAAAATAGGCAACACAAATGGCAATTAAACAAAGTACTGTTTAGCATATATAGTCTCTTTTCATGAATTAGTGACATTTCATTAGCCCCAACTATCATTAAATTACATTTTTAGCATATGAGATAGTTATGAACATCACAATAACAGCAACCATACATGGAAGTTAAAGATGGTCGTTTAAATCTCTTGGCTGTAAAATCAATTGAAAAGAAACAAATACAAAGATGGAAGCCAATCAAATTTACTGTTCATGCAAAATTATTCCTTTTCAACAAATTAGATGAAACAAGAGAAAGACTCACCTCATGAGGAATTTCGGTTTCATCCAACTGTTCTGACAAAGCATCACTCTGCTCAACACTAGTTGTACCAACAAGCACAGGTCGACCAGTCTTATACATTCGCGATATCTCCACAACAACAGCGCGCCATTTACCAGTAGTAGCCCTGAAAACTACATCTGACTCGTCCTACAAAGAAAACCAAAATGATATTTATATCTAGCAAAAGTCGAGGTATCCCGCAAGTGGAATATGGTTAAGTATCAAAGATGAAAAGAGTAGTGAGTCTTCTAATCCCTTTTCTGATTTGTCTAGTTACAAGTGCTGAATTTAGAAAATAACTTCCCTTTCAATAAAATACTAGAAAAATTATATGCACTCACTTTTTCTAGCAAGGCATATATTGCTTAGCAAAAGACAAGAATTTTTAGCATGCTTCATACTATCTTATAGTAACAAATGTTGTCTGGGCAATAGCATATCGATATATGCTTATACTTCCAGATTTCAGCTTAGGACTGATGCAGTTAAATCTCACTGTCCCTTTTCCAAATTAAGCCAAAGATCTAAAGGCTCGATACCTTTCTTATCATGGGTTTATTTGTTGGGACAATTGAAACTTTCAGCTTGTATATGCTCTCAAATTCTGCACTCTCAGTTGCTGCAGTGCCTGTCATGCCGCAAAGCTTTGGAAACTGTAGTTGAACAAGAAAATATGTAATTAGTGCAGATAATGGAAATAGTTGAACGAGAAAACATTTAACTACTGCGGATATTGGAAATAATCAGGAACAAAATTGCTAGATTGATTGTTCATGGTAGACCACATTATCATTACACCAATTGCCTGTTAGATTGGGAGAGCAAGATAAGCTCATCCCCCCAAAAAAGCTAAACAGGTACTAATTATCTTTAGGAAATATTAGATTCCAAAACACTACAAATACTTACTGAAAATTTTCTAATAGAAACAAAATTGTAAAATTTGAAGTTGGTGGGATTTAATCATAGTAACATTTTGATAGAAACAGATTCGTAGAATTAAAGTTGGCCGGAAACAGTTGCAGGTGAAGGTCATATCACCTGTAGAAAGAAATTTTGGTAACTGATAGATGCAAGTGTAACAGTTTCATTCTGAATTGGTAAGCCTTCTTTTGCTTCAACAGCCTGATGAAGTCCATCACTCCATCTTCTGCCCTGTAAAATTAGTAGCAAATGAAAAAAATAAATCACTTGAGAATAGAGAAACAGATATACTTTAACACTAAAGAATGCATGTAAGAATGACAGTTAAAACATAAAACTAAATTTTGAGCATTCTTAATAATATAGTTATACAGTCAGGATGCGTTGGTCAGAGGGAAAGTAGGAGGGGTTCTAGAGAGAAAGATGTTGGGTGGCCTATTTGCAACCTCCTTAAGTGCCACAACCACTGTTTAGATTTGGGTGCAATGTTTTAGAGAGAGAGAGAGAGAGAGAGAGAGAGTGAGAGAGGATGTTAGACCAGTCTAGCTGGTCCTGCGGGACCAGCCCATGCTAAACAGAGGCGAAAATCTTCTACCTCTACTTCCGACTGCAGGAGATAACGGAGCATCTTTGAAAGGTTTTTTGAAGAAGTTTAGGAGGGAAATTGAATGTAGGGACTGTTTACAGATTTTCTTTTGAATTATATGCATTAAAGAGTTTATTTTCCTAGGGTTAGGGCATCTTGAATTTGGTTGAAATTTGAGATCTCTTATATTTAGGTTTTCCTTGGGGCTCTAGCGGCATCTAGAGATTTGAGAGAGATAGATCCTCCTCTCGAATAAAGGATCAATTGTATCTTGGTATTTTCCATTTCTATTTCATAAAATAATACAAATTTTCTACAATTTTCTCGGTTTTGTGTGGATTCTTGTGGAGGATTTTCGCTGTTTTTTAAAGATGGAAAGGAATTACTTGAGATCATCAAGTGTTTCCTATCAAAGGACTGGGAGGAGGGGCAGACATTACTGCACTCCAACAGAACAAATTTTGGATTTGAACGAAATAATTTAAAACCTGAAGGACCTATAACTGGCAAGTGAAAGTTTATGAAAGTAAGCGAATTGGAACTCAAGCATAGATCTGACAAAATTTAATATTGCTTTGTTCTGACAGGTAAAAATAATTCTGAAACAAAATCTCTATTTTCTCATAATCTGCTAAAAAGGATCTTCAACATTTGCATTTTGCAAAGAATCCTATGAGCTGGAATGCTCACCTGCATAACTCGACCAGTAAATTCATCCACAATCAGAACCTCCTTTCCACGAACTATGTAGTTTACATCCCTAAGGAAGAGCTCCTTTGCTTTGATAGCATTTAGAACATATGAAGCCCACTGTTCTCGAGGATCGTATAGATCTTTCACGCCCAGAATTTCTTCTGCATCTTCATAACCCTGCTCTGTAAGCAGAACAGTTTTCTGCTTCTCATCAACCTGAAATGAATCCATTCAGCAAAAGAAAACCATGAAGAGTTTAAAGAATTTACTTATTGAGGTATTTATTATTTCTTTATGATCAATGTCGGTTAGCATTCGATTTACAAGTTAAGCTAACTAAGGTAACCATAACTTGTTTCAACCAAGAATCATAAAAATATTTTTTAGAATATTTAGGAGAAATAAATTATTGCATCAAATCATAGGGACTTTCTACCGCATACAGTGTAGTGTATATCTCTCTCAAAGGCCGAGGCAATCTTCGCTGCTTTGTAGTAACTATCACTAGGCTTCTCTGCTGGACCTGAGATGATTAGTGGTGTTCTAGCTTCGTCAATTAGAATTGAATCAACTTCATCAATAACACAGTAATTGAATCCTCTCAGGACTAGGTCATCAACGGACTGAAAATGCAAAAAAATAACAGAAATATTATTAGGAAAAGCTCATGCAACCAGCTCCACAAGAAAATGGAAGAGGAAAAAACTACTAAGAAAGTTGCCAACTATAGCAACATGAAGCTCAATGGATTCTGAGAAAATACTTTCCATAGCTAGATTGTCTCTCAGATAATCAAAGCCAAGTTCACTGTTTGTGACATATGTTATGTCACACAAGTAGTTTTCTCTTCTTTGCTCGCTTGACATATTTTCTGCAAGAAAATGCATCATTTACACTACTGAAATATAAAAGCAACAAAATTATCTCCGAATGAAATGAGAGAACGGAAAGAGGTGGATCTGCTTGAAAAAAAAACACCATTTTCTCAAAGAATATTGAAGTTGTAAGAACATAATGAAGAAAAATAAAACTTGCATGACTACAATGATTTGACATACGTTGAATTAGGCCAACCTGCAGTCCCAAAAATCGAGGAACTTGGCCAACCCATTCGCAATCACGCCTAGCAAGATAATCATTTACAGTAACTACATGAACTCCTTTCCCAGTCAATGCATTTAAATATGCCGGCAGAACAGCCACAAGTGTTTTTCCTTCTCCCGTCTTCATTTCTGCTATCTCTCCATTATGAAGAACCATGCCACCTGCATTGATGAGTATTTATCAAGACATTCTCTCACATAATCTGTGGTTGTAAAGCCATCAAAACATATCATTGCAAAAAATGTAGTGAGACTCCACTTAAAGATACATATCTTCAGTGAGAAAAATGAGTACTAGAACACAAATATGCCACCAATACTAAGGGACAATTTAGGATCACTTTTATCTTTTTGTTTTTTGTTTTGATTTTTAAAAATGTATTTGTTTGATGTATTTTTTAACTTTTTTAATTTTTTGTTTTAAGAAAATAAGATATTTTTAGGAACACTTGAAATAATTTAGGTTTCCTTCTGTGTTTTTAAAACCAATAATAACAACCGGTCACCCTTGCCACTAATGACCAGTACTCTCATCAACATTTCATCAATCACGCCATTGTTTCGCTAACAACCACCGCTTAAATCAAGTTATTTGATATCCAATAAAAATAACAATAAAATATTTTTTAAGATATCAACTACATTGTATTTCATGTCAAAAAATAAACAAAACAAAAAAAAAAGTCAAAAACGCAAAATAAAAGTGACCCTAAACATCCCCTAAATTGATGAAAAACGTGACGTAGATTATTTAAAACATACCCATCAATTGCACATCAAAAGGACGAAGGCCTAGAACCCTTTTTGATGCTTCCCTTACCACCGCAAATGCTTCCTGCCAATAAAAAGACAAAATTTCAGCAAAGCTAAAATTATGAACTAAATCCAAAATCAATTTCATTAAGATCCAAAGGACATGTACATTTGTTGACCTCCACATCTATTTCAATTAGATTGAACATGGTGAAAATATTAGCAGAATGGCACAAAATCATGTTAGTCCTACCGTAAGGCATCTCATATAACAAAAATAATTAAATATCGCCCATTTTTCAAAATAGACTACATCGATGCCTCCAGAGCATCAAAATAACTAAGTAAGAACCCCCATGAGCAATTTGATTAAATGAACAACGAATGCAATGTCACACAAAATTGCTTTGTCGTTGGTCATTTGGCGAAATGAATAGCGCCAATATGCCCGGAATGTCAAAATTATCCAAAATAGGCGCCCATATTGCTTGAGTAGCTACATGAAAGTAAAACTCGACATTTACTCACACACGAGATGTTGAGACAAAATTGAGTAGCACGAGTGACAAGAATTTTGCAAGAAATGATCAACACACAAAAACTCATTTCAAATTTTATAAAGTAATGAGATATTATTATTATTATTTTCAATCATCATTGTCTTCATCATCATCATTATTATTATTAATAAATAAAAAAGGGGTCAATACCTATCATTTTCCTACTTGATTCCGACAATTTCCCGCATGTCTCCTACTCGCACCCTCAACTTACCCCACTCAATCCTTAACTGACCCCATCTCCCTCTCCCTTTCTTGTGATCATTAGAAATTGCACGGCTTTGAAAATGATCACTTCACCACCTCTCACACGACTCTTCCACCTACAAACTGCAACCAATAAACCCCTCTTCTCCCCCTCCGTCCCCTACCAAACCGTAGCTCGAGCATCCTTAGAGCCCTAATCGCACACCACTATCATCTCTTCACTTCCTTAATTGGACCCATGCTAATTTCATCTCAGCAGCCACGACTCCAAACCCTTAACCGCTTCTCCCTCCCAAATAGCACCTCTACCTCTCATTCCCACTTTCCCAGCCAACACCCCCTACTCCTCTCTCACAGCCTCCTTTTCCCTAGAGCTGCCAACGAATTCCTCACCCATCAACCCAACAACAAATTGCTAATAATCTTCCTTGTACATCACAACATCAATCCCAACAATAGTTTGTTTGAGAAGACTTCGAACAAGTGAGAAAGTCACAACAATAACTCATTGGAGTGGGCTTCAACAAGACCTTGCTTTCTTCTTTTTTACTCCTACCCAACACAGAAACCCTTAATGTAAAAGAAACAAGGGGACTACAATGGGTGCTCACATGCAACCACATGGATTGGATCAACAACTTGCTAAGATTAAAAGGAGATCTTGATACATGAGATTTAAAGTAAATCAAAAGAGAAAACGGGATTTAAGATTATGTAGCACTTGAAGCTGCCATTTTTGTTAGTTGGTGAATTTAGGTTAATTCCTACTTAAACCCTATTCAAATCCTGCTACCACACTCTATTCTCAGAATTTCTTTCTTTGCTCATCTCTCATCCTCCTGTCTCCCTCCATCTTTACCTTCTCGCATTCTCCTTCCCTTCCCTATTCAAATCCTGCAAATTTTCTATGACTTCACGAGCATTTGCACCAACTTATGGAATAGCTCGTAGTTCTATACAGTATGATGATAGAAAAGCCAAAAAAACATTAGTACAACTACAAAAAATGAAGCCATGGTTTTCTCTCTTTCGCACATTCTGGAGCTCTTTCACCTCTGGCTTCCTCTGGTCTAGGTCAATGCATTGGATCTACCATCAAGTTTGTGTTCAGTGAATCAGCCTTCAATCACCAAACGAATAAAAAAGCAAAATGAAAAGCATATATCAATCACATAAGGCTAAAAGTTAGGTGGATTACTTATTGATACACGACGGACGTATTAACTAAACACCATGAATGACTCTAAAATGCATCACTACTCCATGATGGTAAACTTGGTCTCCATCCTAATGGAGTGTGGCATCAACAACATTATCAAACAGAAAATTAAACGACTGAAACAAGTTGTCAGTGAATTCTCAGTCTACTCACCTCATATTCTCCAAATTTATACTTTAAAAACCAATTTTGTTTTGACTTACAAATTTGGAAGTAATTTGAGTTGAGTTTTGAAAGTGAGCTTAATTGAAATAATTTAAATGATATGGATTTATTTTGCATGAGCTCAATCTTACTGATCTCAATTCTAATGTTTATTTGGGTTGTAATAAATTTTATTTTTTCCATCATAGAATTGATTTTATTTTTTATTTTTATAATGATTACAAATAAAACTCATTCTCATTTAGTATATTATTATTATTATACCTTCTTTATAAGAATAATATTAAATAAGACTTGTTTTTATATACACACACACATTGCATCATGTATATTCTCAAACCTGTATATAAAAACTTTTAAATTGCATATACGACAACAGCTCAATTGGTAAGAACGCTCAGAAAATTGGCTTTTCGCTTGATGAAAAGAGCCAAACAATTGTTGATCTCGCTCAAGCTCAGCTCTCTTACACCCCTAATTGAAACTTACTTCTCAATTTTATGAAGTTTGAGTTCCCAAAAAAAGCCTTCTTTAATCCATTTTCTATCAAACAAACAATCAAATTCAACTTTTAAGCCGAATTCCAATCAGTAACAAATACTTACAGGCAGAATCAAATCAATCGATTCCCCGTTCTGTGCACGTTCCCTGAGAACCGACGTCTTCTCCCGCAACTCCGAATCCGAGAGCCTCGTCATCTCCGGCTCCAACCCATTGATCAACCCAACTGAATCCGAGAACCGCTTCCTCGTCGCTTCACCCGTGTCCATTCCCTTGAAGATGCCCCCAAGAAGGCCACTCAGAGCAGCAGATACCGGAGTTACTCTGACAAACCTGGTACTTCGGCGAGGTTTTCGAGCAATATAAGAAATGCAAAGTTCGGATTTCGCCGGAAAGATTCTTGGAGATACAAGGGTTTTGTCGGAGCAAGCGGGAGTGAGTTTGGACAAGGGAGTGGGAAATGGGGACGATGCCATTTTTCGTAGCAAATTGATGGAAATTAGGGATTCTTAGCTATAGAGGATGAAATTGAAGAAATTTAATGGGGTTGGAAGGGTGCAAATTCTGATTTTGATGCGCAATTTGAGCTCGCGGTAGCTCTTCTTCGAACTAAAACCATATATGGAGGGAAACGCAGCAAATGAACAGAGGAGAAGGGTGGATAAGGTGAACAAATCTTTCAGATAGTCCCCTGATAATGTTTTCACTATTGTAATTTTATCATTTTTTGTTTAATCTTAAAAAGAATAATGAAAATTAATAAATTATTCAATCATTTCATATATGTACTTTATTATAATTTTATAAATTTATTTTTATTCTTTTACATAAAAATTTAAAAATTATTCCTTGAATAATAAAAGTCCAATACAATAACTACTACTAAATCAGGCCTTTTTATAATAAAAGTCTCATAACAAACGAAATTTCTAATTGTATGATAAGATAATTTTATATGGTTATAAGATTTTATTTTCATCATTTTTTAAAAAATTAAATTATTTGTTAGAATGACCAAAAATCGTTTCAATTCAGGTATAAATATTTATGCAAAATAGGGATTTCAAAGCAATTAAGAAGATTATATTTTATTTTACATATATTGGCCAATTTAGAGACTAAAATTAGGCCAAACAACATAATAATTCATGTACAAGATTGTAGGCTCTGAAAATTCATGCTTGTTGAGAGAGTTTAGGGTACTCCTAATGTATATTAGGTGAAAGATGAGACTTATCCAATATTTCGCACTTAATTTATAGGGGACTTTATGATCAAGTTTTAAAATTTTATAAAGACTTTATGATGTGAGGCTACCAGCGTTAGTGCGGGCCAAATTGAGAGATAGAAGGCAAGGCAGGTGAGCGTGATGTTGTGTGGGATTGCGGATGTGGGACGTTGGTCAAATTCAGGTCATTTTTGGGTTATCTGTTGACCCAAACATGACCTTATTTTCAAATTGGTCAAGAATTAGGACTTGAGCCCAACACATTTGTTAAATCGGTTGAACCCTCCTGCCATGTTGACCCAATGTACACTGGCACGATTTGTATGAAAATATAGAGGATTTAGGTTTTGTTTGGGACAACCTTCTTACTGCTTTCTGAAACAACTTTTTAGTAAAAAAAATTTGAGTTCAACAAAATTTTGTACTTGAAATTTGTTTTAGAAAGCAGTAAAAAATTTGTCCCAAACGAAACCTCAATAAATTTAATAAATTATAAAGCGCTTAAATTCTGAAAATTATTATGCAAAACATAAGAAGTTTTATTAAATTTGAATGAACAGCTTGACCATTTATTTTAGGATTTAAATCTATTAGTTCAAATAAAATTTTATAGTAATTGTTAATAATAAAATTAAAATATTTTACACAACTATAATGAGATTAATTAAATCATACTTAATTGTACTTATTATATACTTTACGGGCTAGAATAAACACGGCAGTACAATGAGGTTATTTTTCATCTTAGTGTTACACAAATATCCAACACACAATCAGAAAAGATAAAACATCAAGGTTTTTAACGTAGAAATCCTAAATAAGAGAAAAATCATATGACCTAGCCTAGTTCAAATGATACCACTGTGTTTGAATGAATTGCAAAGCTTTATTCTTCCCGTAATTCAAAGATGATGAAATCACAATAGTAGAGAGAGTTAGGTGGAAGTATGGAGTCAGATGGTGGTCGGGTAAAATTCCAGCGTCGGTCAGTGTCTGGGCGGAAGTTCGGCGTCGATCAGTGGCTGGGTGGAAGTTTGGCGTCAATCGGTGGCCATGCGGAAGTCCGACGTCGACTGGGGGCTGGGCGGAAGTCTGGTGACGGGCAGTGGCTTGGGGGAAGTCTGATAATAGTCGGTGGTCCGACGGTGGCCCAATGGTGATCGAGGAGGAGCTTGGTGGAATGAGATATCTCAAATTTATCTTCTTTCTACCGCTTCCTTCCCATTTTTCTCTCTCTTTTTTTAAAAAAAAAAAAAAAGAAAAAGAAAAATGGAGGCCAATTTATAGTTTTTTATAAGTGACATGACTAGAAAATAAAGAAAAGATCAAGGGTGGGTTGGAAGTTTTTCAGATGGACAGCCGATATCAATTCCCTTGATCACGGATTGTTTATCGAGCATTTGAGTATTTTAGTGATGTTAGAGCTTAGTGATATTGGGCTCGTTGGATTCATCGCGTCGAGTTGCTCGATTTGACTATAAGCATGTTATATTTGGAAATCATTTGATCATGCATCCAATTTATGCTTTAAAGCTTCCGAACATACTTTAAGCCCTCGATTTGGACCCATTTGGGCTCGGATGGGATCGAACTTGGTATCGTTGGGTTCGTCTTTCAAAATGTTCAATTTGACTATAAGTTTGTTGAAATTTGAGTTAAGATAGTCCCGGATTTAATTTCGAAAATTTCCAATTCAAATTTGACTTTTGTGCCTGATCATTATAATTTTTTTTACGATATATAATTACTAATATTTCAATTAATTATTAATCAATAAAGTATTCAACTAATGAGACGTAAAATCTAATTTAAATATTTTTATCGACCCTAATTAGATTAATTAAATTATCTCTTACCTACATACAACTCTTTATGATTAATAAAATATTAAACCAACGAAACGCAAAAAGTTCCATTAAAGAAAATTAAATAGTAAATAATTTTAATTTAACATAAATTAATATTTTTAAAATGATTAATACAATAACTTCTACATAGTCTTTAAATAATGATTAATACTATTTAATTTAATATATTTATTAACGAATACTTATTATTAAGTGTAATTTAATTCTATTTAATTTATTTATTATCTAATTTATTTAAATATTATATTTATATCTAAATAACTTAAAGTAAGGGCTTCTATTTAATAATCGAGCATCCCTAACCTAATAGCTAGAAGATAATGGGAAAATTGAAAATAACGTTCATAACTTTCAAGTTTTTCTTGAAAGAGCAGCTTATTTTTGGTTATTTTAAAGCCTCATTTGGGATGGCTTTTCTGTTGCTTCTTAAAGTAATTTTTTAGTATAACAATTTTATTTATTGTACTAAAAAGCTGCTTTAAAAAGCAGTAAGAAAGCTGTCCCAAATGAAGCCTAAATCTTGCTACCAAATAGCGTCATAATATTTGTTCTTGTCCTCGCTATCAACCATAGTGATGAGACAGAAGACATGATAATATGTTTGATATCTCATACGCATTAGCATAGTATGTTTTGTAAATGGGCGTATATTTGTCTATTTCATTAGTTTGTTATGTATATATGAATAAAATTTTCCTCACATTAGATATTTTACTTATATTTAGGCTTCGTTTGGGACAGCTTTCTTACTGCTTCTTAAAACAAATTTTTAGTACAATATTTATTTATTTTTTTTACAAAAATAATGCTTTAAGAAACAATAAAGAAGTAATCCGAAACGAAACCTTAATGTTATCTAAAAAAATTGATGCATTGAACTTCTTCTCTTATAAAAAATAATTCCATATAATTTCATACTATGCAAGCTTTATATTTCATTTTGATCATTTATATATATGAAAGTATGTATAAATGCACAAAAATATTAGCCTTTATTAATTATATTCTTAATTTTTCTTCTGTTAAAAATAATCTCTTTTTATTTCATACTATGCAAGACATGTTGCATCGTATATATTCAAATATTAATACGTTATATCAAATATTATTAAATTGCATATTATATTCATTGCTTCACGTACTAAATTCAATTAATCTTTGTATATGTTGGAAAAAATACGATGGATACGTTATAAAAAATTGCCTTGATTGGGCATGAATCTCAAGGCATATTCAAATCGGAAACTTTTGAAATCAAAATTGGAATCATCCAAACTTCGATTTCAGCAAAATTATAATCTAATTGAACTTCTAAAGTAGATGAACTCAACAACACAGAAATCGGTCCGATCTGAGCTCAAATGGGTCCAAATCAAAAGACTGAATCATATTTGGAAGATTCAAATAATTAATTGGATGACCGAATGATCTCTAAATATGTCATGCTTATAATCAAATTAAGCTGCTTGACAAGGCAAATCCAACGAGCCCAAGATTGCTTAATTATAACGTCATTAAGACACTTAAATGCTTGAAGAACGATTCATGATCGGGGAAATTAGTAGGGGCTGTCAGACAAAGCATAATGAAACTGCCTAAATCTTCTCTATATTTACAGGGTGTGTCACATGCAAAAATCTATAAATAAACCCTCAATTTTCTACATAAAGGGCACCTTTGGCTAGACATTGGAGAGAGAGCTTTGACGATTCAAGGATGTAGAGCTCTACCCAAGCAACACCGCCAAACCTCGGCCGACCTCTGTCGCACTTCCGCTCGACCATCGCCAGGTTGTCGATCACTGCCAGATCGCAGTAGATCTTTGTCGAACCACTGCTTAGCCACGGACCATCGTCAGATCATCGATGGACCTCCTCCTACCCACCAGATGTCTAATAGGCAGATGACGCCGTCAGATAATTACCAGACCACCACTAGATTGTCGATCTCCGTTGGACTTTCACCCTGCTGCTAACTGCAGTCAAACTTCAGTCTAACTAGCATCAAACCATCGCCTCAAAAGCCGACCACCGTCGAACCTCCACCTAACAGCCAACAACTGACGAACTTGCATTTGGGTCACTATCAAACTTTTGCCCGAGCGTTGTCAGATTTCCGTCCAACTCTCCAAACTACTGTAATTATCCCCCCTCTGAGTTAAGACACGAGACTACCCTTTTTAATTCACTCAATTTAATGAAATCTTATCATCTGACTCAGACCCCCATGATTTTTCCTTTTTTGAAAATTTCACATACAAAAATTTCTAGTATCTTTCTTTTCTCTCTTCAACTATTCGTTTGTATGCTGGAAATCCGTGCATCATTGGGATGAAAGATTAATCGACTCTATCACCACATATATACTAGCTCACAACAATGATCAATTTATATTGTTATTTATTATAATATATAATATGATGAATATAATCAATGTTTCCTGTAAACGTTTTGATTAACTTGGAGAAAAATGACGAGTAAACATAGAAATAACTTTTTGTTATGTAAGTGATACATGATAGGGTTTGTCACTATATATTTTATATTAAAAAAGTATAATTTTTTTTTTTTGGATTTTTACACATCTGACACTCAAAACACTTCTATTCACACATCTCACACCCAAACTTCACTTTTTACTATTATACCACCTAAAAGCCCTAACACTCACCAAATACAACACTCCGTTTGCTCTTGTTAAATGAGCCTCATCGAACCGTTTCACCTTCAGTGACTTTTCCTTGCTCGGTCGGATCTCATTTTTCTCGGCTAGGTATTTTCTTCTCCATTTCAACGTCTCGTTTTTCCTCTTCGAGACTTCTGCATTTCGCTTGGAACGGTTTTCAGCCTCCACTCCTCCATAAGTCCCATAGGTATGTTGTTCTTCTCCATTTCAAAACCAAGGTTTTATGTTTTCAACAAATATGTGAAAGTATTGTGATTCATAGTTTTTTCTAGTTCAAACGGAGAGATTTCTATTATATCATTCACTAAATCTGAGTTAAATTCATCCCAAAACTTATAAGTGGAAGAAGAGGTGTGACTGGACAAAAAAGTTTTCTGGAACTTATAACATACCACAATTTCTGACTGGTGAATAAAAAGATTGGTGAACAAGAGGAGAGCATAGTCAGGTATTTCATCACTTACCTTCAAGCTTTTATAGATGCTTTATATGATTATATCTATCCAAATGATAGCTGCATTCATCCTCGATGCCTTCGAAATAGATCGGAAGATGATTATAGATATTTTAGGCGTTTAGACGAACAAAATGTTGAATTGGAAGCTATGAATTGCTTAAGGAGTGGAAATCCATGAGAAGTTCATTCCAAGCATGTCGTCTCAATTACATATGAGTTATTTCAGATTAGGATCTTGTTTGTCATCCTTATTTTGATTTTTGGTGTTGCCATCAATTCTCTTGCAAAAACTTGTAATCCTAAGGGAATATAACTTAGAATTTGATATAAATAGTTGAAGTTATGTAACAAATCTTATGTTTTAATGAAAAAAATTTGATATTTTGTAGTGAATTATTCATTCTCAATGATATTTTATAGTGACATGTTGTAACATATATTTGATAGAAAGCTAAATAAGCAGAGCGGTGGTATTGCATTTCATATTTGTTTGTACTGAACATCGGATTTGTTGGTATTGAACTTTAGATTTGCAAAATAAGCAGCAAATAGATGTTGACATAACTTCAAATTTGTAAATAGCAATAATTTGGTTCAAATTTTATATTTGAAAAATATGCATAACATCATATATCTTAGTGTAAGTTCATATCAGAATGGTTCTATTGAAATATGCAGAACATTTATGGCTCCTTCAAATTTGAAAATTTTCTCCTTCAAAGGTTATGGGCTTCTTACAAGTGCTTCTATAATGATTCCAAGAGTTACATCGACCACTTTTATGATTTTAATTTTTAATTTTTTTTTTGCACATTCTAAGATGCTTTTGAATCGTTTCTTCTTTGGCCTGCAACAAGGCCTTAGCGTAATTGGTGGAAATACAAAATTGTCATCACTAAATCTGACTACTGTCCTTTCCCGGCAGTGTTGATATGGCTCCATCATAAGCCATTTTGCACCTGAAAAAAATTTGAAGAAAACAACAAATGTGATGTTTTGTTCCAACAAATATTTTTAAGACGAATAGATGCAACTTAAGAAGACGACATTCAATCATGTCCATTACATCTCCAACATTACTAAACAGAATGTAAATTTTTGGCGACGAACTATCAATGTGATAGTGTAGGTTGTAGGATTGGTCCCTAAGCCACTAACAAAGTGTTTCGATTTGATCTTTCAATAACAACAAATTAATATCACATCTCTTAAAATTCAAAGTTTTCTAACTTCCACCGACGTATTGCATCCTGCTTTGACCATTCACTGTAACCCAATATCCTCCATATTTGAAGACAACTGAGCACAAATTGTTGTGGTTCATATATGCGAGTACAAAATTGAGTCAATTAGTAAAAACAAACATAGAGCATAGGCAAGTAGAAGTAGAACTAGAGAACAAATTTTTCCTTTTAAATTAGCATGAACTATTTAATGTTTAAGTTTAAAAGTTGGACGGGTTTCCTTTGTGTTTAAGGGCTATTAGGTTCCAATAATATGCAAAGTAAATTAATCCAATCAATGTAAAATGTCAGAACTAACTACAATTTTAAAAAGGTAAACAATGTCTCTGCATATAGTAAATACAATTATTCATATCAAAACAAATAGAATGAACCTAAACAAAATCTTAATTTATTTATAACACAAGAAAACGTCGTATGCTCAGTTTCGTAAAAAAGGGAACTGCATCAGTCCGATGGAAAGGTTCGATGGAAGGGAGAGAAGGGGAGCAGCAACGTGAGAGAGCTGCTCGAACAGGTTTCCAGCACGCGAAAGGTTCTTTTTGCGAACTAGTTTTTGACGGGAGCAAACGGAGTCTTATATTTGGTGTGTGTTAGGGCTTTTAGGTGGTATAATAATAAAAACTGAAGTTTGAGTGCGTGGTGTGTAAATAGAAGTGTTTTGAGTGCTAGGTATGTAAAAATTCCTATTTTTTTAATCATGAATGCTGGTTCTAAGTCTAGATGAAAAATGTTGATTATATTTTTCAAATATTCATTTTATACCTTTGACATGAAAAAAATTTAGATTTGCCATTGCTCGTTGGAGATTTAATTACTAGCGAAACTTGTACCAATAGAAAACATTTTATGTAAGAATGAGAATTACTCTAGTATTTTATTATTTTTCACGATAGCTCAAAATGCAAAAACTATGAAATTAAGATACTCAACATTATCCTCCAAACCAATTTTCCTTTAAGCAAAGAATAAAATAATTCATTTTGATACAAAAAGAACAAATTTGTTTAGACCGACTCATTTACTAAACAAGTTGGGCTTGCGTCCAATTTTACTAACAATTTAATAAAAGATTCTGATTTGGGTTAGCTCGCAAACCCTATTTTGACTCGATTATATTTTTTTCTTAAATTCTTTTACTTGATATTATGATATCTTTATTTTTCTATCAATTAATCTAAAATATATAATTTACAAATTATGATTTTTTTAATCAAAACAGATTGTTGGATCGAGTTTGAGTCATTTAGGGTTGCCACTTGCCACTAGGGCATGCATGCCATCATTTTATCATGTTTATTAAACGGACCAGATTTCAGTCAAATCATAATCCATCCCATAATCCATTTTGACACACTTTTAACCTTTTTTATATATATTACCACTGCTGCTTGTCCAAGTGGTGAAGAGCCGGCTGGGTGAAGCCCAGGTCTCTTGTTCAAATTCCGTGACAATTAGTGAAAGCCTTAAGTGTTGATCCGTGTAAATTGATGTGGGTTGTATGCTAGGTCGAACGAAATTTTTACTGACCTAAGAACAATGCTTTCTAGGGAGTTTTGTTTTTCTTCCCTGATTAGCTGGACTGAGCTTTTGCTTGATTTTTTCTTTACAGTTCCTTTCCTTACTTGTAACTAGTTCATTTTAATGAAACAGGCGAAAATGTCTATAATTTTTCAAGAAAAAAAAAAGTACGAAATTAAGGACTTATAGGGCCGTGGGGTCAGATGGGTACGGACGTGGCAAGGGCACCAAGGTCCACCATTTCCGATCTTTTCATGACCCGCGCTGCTTCATAATCATCTTCAGTCCCCTCTAGGGTTTCCATAGTCCGATTTTCTCTGCTCTATCTCCATTTTGGTTCGCACAATATCGATTGTGCTTTCGAGGTATATCATATATTTCCTTTGAAACTCTACAGTGGACATCTCTGATCAAATCTTAGCACGAATTTTCCCTTTCTGTTATTCCGTATTTTGATATTGTCCATGACTGATCGTCACCGATTTCTCTTTTACTTGTTATCGTGGAGGCTTTTTTTGTTCCAACGAGTTCTTGAACGTTCTTCTGGTTCTTTTCACTTTTATATTAAGTTTTCCATCTCGAGGATGGTGTGTCCACTTTTGTTCTTGCCCCTTTCTTCATATCTTTGTGATCCGAGCAGCTGCATGTTAGATTTTTAGGTAAATAAGCTTATGGACTATTTGGTTGCAGTATTTAGTCAGGATAGCCAAACTGTTTTTGAGCCACATAAATTCCGCTACCTTCTTAAAAAATAAAAAATAAAAAATTCTGCTACCTTCTTAAATCCCATTTTCCTGCTGCTTTAGGCTAAATCCCAGATTTTTGTAAATTCCGTGGAAAGTAGGGTTTAAGAGATTATAATATTTCTCTTTGCCGTTCCTCTTCGTATGCTTAAACTAAATCCTAAATCTTGAAGATACATGTCAAGTAATTATTCAACCAGATTTAACATTTATAATGCCAAATAATTTTTATTATTTATTAGTATAGGATTTGCCAAATCTTGATTTACAGAACCTGAATTTACAAGATTTACTAAATACCACTTGAAGCCAAGCAACCCTTTGGGTTTTGGTGCATGGAGTCGAGTATAGGGATCTATAAAAGTTCTTTCTGTTGCAATATAGTTTGAATGTTTTTCAGATAACTCTGCTTTGTTTAAAAAACGGTTGAGCACATATGGTATTTTTTTGTATTTTTTGATTATTGATAAGCCGGATCATTGCAGTTTTTTAGTTTTTTTTTAATTGAATTTTTATCTCACGCCTGATCTTCCATCAATGTTAAGATAACTAAATTAACTAACGACTTTGGATGAGTTTAAATAATGGGTTACTGTTAAGAAAACTTGCAAATGTTATCCTTATATGCTAAAACTAAATGAGGTTTTCTTGTTATAAAAGGGCCATAGTTTTGAGAAACAATGTGCAGCAATAATCCAAGAAGCTAAAAACATGGGTTTTTATGCTATATGTTTTTGTAAGAATAATGCCAAATGTATTAAATATGCAACTTACCTATGCTTACCTTGGGTTTTTCTTGTAGTTTAGTTGAACTAAGTTAATGTTTACATAAGATCATATAAATAAGGCAGAACCGTCGATTCAACCAATGAACTATTGAACCAATCAGTTTCTTTGAATCAATCGGTTTAATTGCTATCCCATTTAATTAATTAAATAAATTTAGTATAAAATGTTAAATAAAGTATTAAATTAATAAATTAATTTAAATTTGACATATTTTAATTTTATAATGAGCGCAAAATTCCTATAAAAAATCTTTGTCAAGCAAGCACTAAACAAACATTTTCACATGGCCGCACTACCCCATGCTAGTTCCTTAGGTATGCATAGAAAATTAAAAATGCTATATAAACAATACTAAGACAACATTTCTATGTGATGTGAGACTAAATAATTAAGTTGAAGTTTTCAAGTTCATAACGTATGCGCTATATATTTTTAAACAACCTTTCTAATTAATATAAAATAATATGAATAATATTTATTTTCAAATTAATAAAGTTTATTTTTTTATCCATTTAATTTTTCAAATTTAATTATACATTATAAAATTATTTATTTTTTCTATTTATGAATGGTCTGACATGAATGATTTATAGATGTAAATTAGTATATAATCTATAGGTGTAAAGTATATATATATATATCAAAACTTAGTTATGATTTATATTGAATTTATAAGCTTATAGGTGAACTAAATTTATATTAAATGTGAACTTAATTTAAATATTGAAAGTGTTTAAATTTAAAATTATAGAAGACATTATTTGTGTATAAATTTGTTTATATTTTAGTTACAAACATTATTGCAGCAATTACAATATTATTATGTCATTTAGAATTCATTTAAATAAATTTAATATTTTTTACGTTATGAACTAGTGAACTTTGAATCTCTCTTTTTTTCAGTTTTATGTTTGGTTTGATTTCACAATCTTGGTTTCACAAATTCACTTTCACTTTCTAAAACCTTTTTGATATGACGAGATTGCTCGACTTGAGTTTAACTCAATGAATTTTTTATACATCCTTATTTGTAGGATATGATAGAGTGTACTAGCCTTGTGTGGTTCTTGTTCATCCTCATCATCATTAGCCATGTGTGGTGTTTGTTCACTATCATTACCTTTGTCTCTATTATTTGGGATCTTCTTTATGAATGATCATTTTTCATCTGTTTTGTTGACTGATGTTCAGGTATTAAGCATATTCATTGCAATTCATTATAAAAACTTCTATCCATGCTAACTTAGATCCATCCCTTCTCTTTCTGAACCCTAGGTACGAATTTATCAACTTGTTAATGGATGATTTTTTATCATTTTTTGTACATGTCGAAATAACCTAAGTTTATTTTCAATTATTTTATTTTTCAATAGTTGCTAGTTTTTAATATAATCATTTGTTAATTTATCATGGCTAGTTATGTCACACATCCATCGTAACTTTCTCATTTCTCCACGCTCAACCTAGATATTTACAACTTTTAATTGCCCAACACTTGGAAAATACGATATTGTTGGTCTTGTTGGGACTTTATAAAATTCACCTTCAATTCTTCATAATGTTTTCTTATCGGATAACATTCTTAAAGTAACTGATCAACTCAGAAAGCTATATCATCATTATATCCCAGTCTTCTATAAAATAGATCCATGATTTTAAATCTTTTACACTTATTAATCCTTTAAAAATATTGATTTGTAATTGTAAATATTAAACCCCATTAATTTTATATCAGATATTTGTTTTTTGTTCTTTTTAATTCAATGTATTTATTTCCAAATTTATTGTCATTCTTCTAATTTTTGACTTATTCCAGTGGAAACTGTCATTTATATAAGGATTAAACCGACACACCACGTTTTTAATATTCATTATATGCATCGCCTTAATTATTATAAAATAAATATGGAATTAATGCTTATATTTGATGTTATTCTACTGAAATTGAAAATTTTCATGTCACTGTACTCCTCATGATTGCAAATGCTTTGTTGTACCATAAATATCCTTTTCACACTTTTAGTACACTTTTTACCTCTATAGTCTCCAAATCAATTCTTGTGTCGCTCACCAATATGCTTTATCAAGATCAGCACAAATCATTTAAAATCCCTTTTCTTCTATATATATATATTTTTTTCCGTTGATTGTCTTAACATAAAAATCTCTTTTATAGTGGATTTTCCTTGCATGAAATCAAATTAATTTTCTGACATTTATGCGACTTTTAAAATGTTATGTTCCATTATACCCATGATTTATGCAACTTTTATGACTTCTATGTTTGATTTCTTTGTAAATTGTATAATTTTGAAAATCTTTTTTGTCTAAAAACTTGGCATCAAAATGGTTCTTTTCCATTTATTTGACACTTTGTCAACCAAAGAATTACATTGCCTACTATAACTCTCCAAATTTCAATTACATTCTCATTGTAATCTAAAGCTTTATTATTATACATATTCTTTAGAGTTTACTTCAGAGGTATGCTTTTTTGAATTAATTTTTTTTTTAAAACTATCCTTAAATAATATCTCAATTTAGTAATTTCGTATTTTCTTGATGTTTTCATTTTTAATTAAGATCGTATGATCTACTTTTAAATTATCTAACAAAATCTTTAGATCTTTTCTCTTAATTTGAATATTCTATATGTTTTCTTTTTTCCTTCCTTTGTTACAAACCTACTATATAAATTATTAAAAACTTTAACTTCAGTCTTGCACACGGGACTCTCTATTAGACTTCTAGTTTTATTATAATCATTATTAGCGTTGGTAGTATTCATTTATTGCCAACATTCCTTAATAACCTTAGTACCTCCTTACTTGCCAGTTGCCACCAAGTATCTTTATTAATTTATAATAATTTGCTCAATCTTCTAAAATTCTAGGACAATCTTCTTTAAGAAACTTGGCATCTTATCCCATATCAAATCTTGCTTAATCAAAGAATTTCAATTTATCTCTATTCGCAACTGAACTTAATAATTTCTATTCTTAAACTACTTTTTCCTATAATCATTATTTTCTTTCATTGTTTCTTTATAGTCTTAAGTTATACATCCATAATAATTATTCTATATTGTGTATTTTGAAGGTTGTGAAAATTGGCTGGATATAGAATCAGAAGGAGAGATTCAAAGTTCAATGATTTTATCGGAGTTGAATCGGACGATGTAATAAATATTAATCTTATTGAAATAAGATTAAAATGACATAATGACAATGTAATAAATGTAAAATAATATAAATTTGTGATTAAAAATTAAATAAAATTCATACAGAAATAACATATTTTGAAATTTTAAATTTAATCACCTTCAATTTTTAAATTTAGTCAACATTTAACATAAATTTAATTTACATATAAACTTATAAATTTAATAGAAATCATTGCTTATACATTTTTGTTTTTATCGGCGTTTTAGTAAAAGCGAAGTTAGAGAAGCCTTAAAGAAAATGAAGTGTGGAAAAGCTGTTGTACCTAATGATATTCGAATAGTGCGTGGAAATGCTTAGGAGATGAGGAAATTTCTTGTCTTGCCGAACTTTTAATATTATTTTGAAGGCTAAAAAGATGTCAGGTGAGTGGAGAATGAGTGTGTTGATTATATTTCAAGAATAATTGTGATGCACAAGATTGTGTGAATTATAGAGAAATTAAGCTAATATGTCATACTTTAAAACATTGGGAGAGAGTTATGGAGCATAAGTTGCGACGTGATACTAATGTTTATCAAAATCAATTTAGATTCATGCTAGGTTGGTCTACTTTGGAAGCTATACATTTATTGAGAGGATTCATGGAGAAATATAGAGAGAATAAGGAGGATCTACATATGCTATTTATTGATTTATAGAAATCATATGATAAAGTTCCAAGAGAAGTGCTATGGAGATTTCTAAGAAAGAAAGGGGTTAATAATGCTTATATTCAAGTCTTTAAGGATATATATGTAGCCATGTAGGAGCTGTTACTTGTGTTCAGGCACAAGGTGGTTTGATCAAGTATTTTCCTATTTCAGTTGGATTACATCAAGGATCAGCCTTAAGCCCATATATTTTTGCTTTAGTCATGGATGTTCTCATTAGACATTTGAAAGAGGTTGTACCTTGGTCTATGCTTTTTGCTGATGATATTCTTATGGTTGATGAGACTAGAGAGGGTGTTGAAGGTATATTTGAATCATGGAAGCCATCTTAGAGTCTAAAGGCTTTTGTTTGAGACTTTGAGTAAATCTAAATTCGAATATATAAAATGTAATTTTAGTAGTAATAGATCTAAGGTTGGGGGATTGTGACTTTGGGCGATCAAGTTATTAGTAAGAGTACACGTTTTAGATATCTTATGTCTATTGTTCAGAGACTCAGAGTGATGGTGAGATGGATGAGGATATTTTTAGCAGAATTCAAGTTGGATGGTTGAAGCTGAGGGATGCATCGGGCTTGTTGTGTGATAGAAAAGTCCCCCTCAAACTTAAGGGAACATTCTATAAGATGGTGGTGAGACTTGCAATGCTTTATGGTGCAAAATGTTGGCCATTAAAAGAGAAGCATAATATTAAGTTAAGTGTTGCAGAGATGAGGATGCTTAGGTGGATGAGTGGCTTGACCCTTAGAGATAGGTCACATTAGATTATTTATTATTAACAAATAGATAAAAATTTATTTTAATTGTGTATTGTTTAATAAATAAATAATTAAATAGTTTAGATTTAATTATTCTTAAATAAAAAATAAATATTATTCACATCATAAAAATTTTGTTTGAAAATCTGTTTAAAAATATGTAGTGCATGTGCTTTGAATTTGAAAATCTCAACTTAGTTATTTAGTCACCTTGTTTGAGAACTTTGTCTTAATATTTTTTATATAGCTTTTTTTTTAGTTTTCAGCGCATGTTTAAGAAGAAACTCATTTGTGGTAGTGTGGTCATGCCAAAATGCTTGGTTGGCATTTGCTTGTCAAATGGTTTTTATAAGAGTTTGATCCTCATTAAAAAATTAAAATATATTAAATTAAAATTATTTTTTTTAAGTTTAATATTTATTCAATATTTTACACTAAATATATTAAATTCATTTATTGACTTATTTAAATATGATAGCAATTAAATTGGTCAGTTCTAAGAAATCAGGAATTGGTTCAACAGTTTGCCAGTTGAATTAATGGTTCTAATTAATTCATTTTGGTTTGATGCATGAATTATTTTTAAGATGGACCAAACTGGCTATAAGACCAGTCTACGACTCTAGGATTGAACTAGTCTGGCTTGTTGGTTTGGTTTGATTTGCAAAACTATGGTACGGTCAAATTTTGTCCTAGAATCACCTTATAATCTTTTTAAGAAGTTTTGTTTCTTTATACGTATGAAAAGATTATTTTGTATTTGGTAGCTCAACTTTTTTATGTATACATTTTATCTTTATGGCATTGGAAATCCATCTAATGAAATCAATTTCAAGGATAGAAGTAGGAAGGAATTGGATTTTTGCCATCACCATCATCTCCAAATTGGTTCTATGATGTGAATTTGAACTCACCTTCTCCCTTCCCACATTGGAAAATTAGATGAATAATAGGAGTAGAGAGGAGGCATAAGAGAGGTGGTGCTGATAACATTGTTACTATGTTAATGGAGCTTTGATTTGTGACATAAATAGCAAGGGTAATGGGTAGTATATTCATAATGATGGAACCTTGGCCAATGACGTTCAAAGCAAGGACATATGTCTCTTTATAGTGATGGAACTATAGCAATGCCATCGATGGCAAGCGCAAAGTGGGGGAGGGGTCTGATACGTCTTGGTATCCAAAACAACAAAATATTCCCAGAAAATTCAACACAAAACATTCTTTTATTGATGTAAAATCAAACACGAACAAGCAAGTGACAATGTTTCTCTTTTGAGAGGAGGACCTTCTCTCCCAAACCCTAGACGTTGCTAGGATCCCTCACACAAGAGAATTACAACACTCAAAACAAATTTCTTCATACAAAACATAACGTAAACCCTACTATTTCTAGCCAACAATAAACAAAAAAAAAAAACCAAAATAGCCCTCCTTTTGGCAGGCTAGTCCAGTTGAAGCCATAACAAAACTTCTCCCTCAAGGTGTAAGGATAGGATGGTGTTCATGGCTTTCTTCAGTTGCTCAATCATTAGCAATGCTATTGTCCATTGGAATCGAGCTAGAGCTTTCCCCTCTACACATATCCCTGCAACCGTAAATTTCTTGTCTTCATTCAAACCATTCACCATAAAATACATC